CATTTTCATTTACCCAAGTGTCGCAAAGGCTCCCACCTACGGGTGGGGTAAGGGGGGGTCGGATGTACGCAGTCTTACTCCTGTACTAAAGTACAGAGAGATTGTTTCCGGATAACCCATAGTGAAAATCTCATCCAAAATTGCATGAACTGACTGCTGCTTCATAACAAAAAAGCGCAGACAGTTTAATGAGCCATTTTGCTTTATTCCATCATAATCTCAAGCCAAAAAATAATGAATCTTTGACTCCATTGCAAATGATGGAAAGTGATGCTACTGAATTATTTTTTCCCTAGTTGTGAACATAGTCACATAGTTCGCGGAACGCTTCGGTACGGGAACGAAGATCGGGAACGGGGTTCGCTAAGTCTAGCGTATCCGGTACGTGAGGGGGTAGGTTTCTTTGGTACGCTATTTCAATACGCGGTACGTTGTACCATTGATTACGGTACGGTGTACCATAAAACATATACAACTTATAATGTAGAAACTAGAAATATAATAATATTAATAGTAGGGAGGATTGAACAATTAATGTAACATTCCAAATTTCAATTGTTCTCAATTCATAAACTGAATAAACTAAATTTAATAAAATTAAATTTTTATATGATATAGGTATTCAATATTAATGAAGTAAAAAAGATTCAGTTGTTAAAAGAGAATATACTGCGTAGTTCAAAATCATCACACACACAAAATACTGTGTAGTTCAAAAAAGATGGAAAAGTTATAGTAGCTGGAGTCAACTGACCGGGGAAAAACAAAAAGCAAAAAAGAATGAGAGGGCCACAGAGTAAAAGAGAACACAGAGTCCACCAGATCTAAAATACTGTAAAACGAGTTGGTGAACTCTTAGCGACAGTACAAGAAACCTGTGTTGGTGAACTCTTTGCGACAGTACAAGAAACCTACATACCCGACGACGAAGAGCTCTTTGAGACAGTACAAAACGGGAAGATAGGACCTGCGTTGGTGAACTTAACGGAGACCTGCGATGGAGAGACCAGCGTCAGCAACCTACGACGATGATACGCACGAACTGTGACCTCAAACCTCCGTACCGAAGTCGCGACCCAGAAGCGATCCGATACACGCGATCCAGAACGCAAAACGCGGGTAGCTCAGCGAATTGACCAGACCGGGACGCGCGATCCGGAACGCGCAATAAGGACCATCGGATCATGGACTAGACCGGGCAGGGACCGCCGGTTCATCGACAAGACCGGGACAGTTGGGTCATCGATCGGATTGGACCGGGTTAGCTCGGCCGTTGACCGGATCAGACATGAACCGTCGGGACAATGACCAGAAAGGACCGTCGGGTTGTTGGCCGGACCAGATAGGGACCGTCGGATTATTGACCGGATCGGATTGGAACAAACACCGGAGCACGACCGGATCCAACACTAAGCGTAAGTATGCAAATTCATTTCACCGGCACTTCAGCATCTGCGTTTTCCAAATTTGAAAAACTAGTAAAAGTCACTTCTCTAATTCTTTATGGAAAATAGAGACATGTCTCATTCTTTTTATTTCGGAAAACGATTTGGTAAACACGTTTTATGTTTTCTGTTTTCCTGTTTTCCAGAATTTTTTTTGTAAACACGTATTCTGTTTTCCAGTTTTCTAGTTTTCTAGAAAACTGGAAAATACTGTTTGTGACACTCCCCACATGAAGCCTCTCACAAGAGAACACGCTTCACGCATTGAACGAATATGATCCGAGGATCAACATAATCTCCAAAATGTCAGTAGTGTTAATGCCAGTCAACATTGGGTATTGGTGAAAGGAAAGAAACTTCCTTGCTAGCTGGAAGAAGCGAAAATACAAATGCTAGACATTGCTAGGAAGGAAACACACAAAATAGCTTGAAAATACTCGCTAAGAAGATCTTTCTTCATATTTAGAAAAAAAATTGAAGTGAAGAGAAGAGGGGATAGACAGCTAGGGTTGTTCCTTTTCGCCACTCCCCGCCATTGAGAAGCACACAGTTGAACAAGCTAGAAAGTTAAACTACCTCTAATTTTATGAGCACCATTAAGTATTGGGTGCTTAGTATTTTAGTTTTTTATATTTCCTTTATTACTACTTACCCATATAAACATATACTCCACTTTTACATGTATGTTTTTTTACATTAGCCCGCAAACCAACCCATTTAACCCACAGGTTAGGTGGGTTGAGTTAGGGTTGTAGAAATTATGGCCCTCCATTAAACGGAATGGTCCTACCCAACCCACAAAAAGAAAAACCCGACAAGGGTCAAGTCAGGTTGACCCGTTTGATAGCTTTAACTTTATCTTTGGCTCCATTTGTTACTTAACACACCTTCTACACTTCTTGCCTCGAAAATCAAACACAAACATCTTATGTTGAGTGACAACACTCACCACTGAGATAATGTTACAATCTTTGTAGCAAGTTCTTTAAGTACTTTGTACTAAGATGTAGTCAATTTGGATACTATTAGTTTCATTTCTATAGGTCACAAGGTGAGAGTCTTTTCTTTGAATCAAGTGTTCATTATAGCCAACTCATACATTGAGACAAAGCCCACAATGTTCTTTATCGCTTCATTTCTAGTACCAAAATTATGTCTACCATGAATACTGTCAAAACCATCGGAACCCCAACCGACATGCCCGTTGAAGTCCCCTCATATGACCAATTTCTCTCCCTTGGTACTCGTTGCATCACTTCCTCAAGATCATCCTAGAGTTATTGATTCATAGATGCATCCATTCCACTTGTGGTGCATAGGCACTTACCACGGACATGATCTCATCACATATCACTAATTTCATGCTCATCATATGATCATTCTTTTTCAAGACTTCCACCACATTCTCAACAAAGTCATGCGTCAGAATGATGCCTACTCCATTTTTTATCTTCTCTCCCCGAATACTACAACTTGAATTCTTCATAATTAATCACTCGTGCCTTCTCTTCAACCCACTTCGTTTCTTGCATGCACATATTGCGTATTCTTCCTCATAACCTCGACTACCTCAGACAATCTTCTCGTTAGAGACTTAATGTTCCATGTCCAAAGCACAATCAGGAACTCCACATTGTATTCTCATCACCACCTCGACCCCACAACCCCCACTATGTCCTCGCATATTTGACATCACCACGGGCATTGGAGCGGTGCGGCACTTCTGGGGATGATCTAGCAACCTTAGCATACATATCACCACACCCGCACCTATAAAGTGTAGCGCACCCTTGCATATTTGACACCACCCATAACGTTGTTGTAGTGATAATAATTTTGATTCATGTCATTTGAGGTGACTAATGGTCATCACGCACCTACAAGAGCACCCTCTTCTTTTATACAAAATTGGGATAAACAATTCATTACTCAAAAAAAATAAATTGTAAATAAAATACCGCGTAAAAGAAGAAACCCACATGTTCTTGATTTCTGAGTTCAGCGAAAAAGGCGTGTGATGTTATGCCGCAGAAGTTAATTCAAAGGTCAATCTTTGGATTGAAGGGCTTGTCATTGAGGAATGACCGGTTGATGATGAAAATGGATTATGGTTCTGGATCGGGGGGCAAAGCACTGTTTTCCCAAGGTAGGAAAAAACAAACCAATACAAGAAGAAATGGCTAGTACTGGATGTCATGAGAGTGATAGGGACAGGGCAGAGTATTCATTGGTAGAAACCTAGAGACTTGACCTTATCAAAACCTTATGATTAAGCAGCAACAACAACAACATCCTAGCTTTATTTCCACAAGAGTTTGGGGTGAACTAAAGTGAATCGACATATGAAATCGGAGGTAAAAGTAGATAAAAAAATTAAAAAGGATAAAATAAAGGACAAAAGGGATAATAAAAAAAGATAAAAAGATAAACATAAGAAAGATAATAAAGATAAAAAAATAGAAAAGATGAAATGAGATCAAAACATTATTATTAAGCATGGGAATGAAGTTCAACCCCTACTTATGCTACTCATAAATCTTGGTGGGTGAGTAAAATAATAGGAATATTAGGAATATACAATATAGGATTAAATCACACAAACTAGTACAATATATTCCTATTAGGAATATTAACTTATAGGAAAATTACCCTAATTAGGACTAAAAACGTGAGTATATTCCAAAATAGGACTATCATGTTTTTATTCCCAAAATAGGATAATTACTGCCATATTTTGGCGGTACCAAACTTTAAACATGACAATATATTCCAACCTTGGCACTAATTACTCCTATTTTGGGAATGAAAACATGACAGTCCTATTTTGGAATTTCCAAACTTTTTTACTCCTATTTCGGGAATTTTCCCTAACTTATACTCCCTTCGTCCCTTAAAACTTTGTCATCTTTCCTTTTTGGGACATCCCAAAAACGTGAGAAATAAAATATTCCGTATCAATTATTTCTCTCTCCTCTACACAAATCTCAACCACACAATTTTTACTTTATTATTCTACGTGCCGGTCAAACTTGGCAAAGTTTTAAGGGACAGAGGTAGTATAAAATATCAATACTAGTAGCAAATTATTACTAATTTACTAGTACTAATAATAGGAATTAGGAAACAAACAATAATGTCAATACTAATATTAATATATACTCTTTCCGTCCCCCTAACTTTGTCCCGATTTACCTTTTTCGTCCATCCCATTAAGTTTTGTCTCATTCCATATTTGGTAATATTTGGATGGTTTCAATTCATTCTTATATTATTTACACTGTCAATTCAATATCAACCAAACAATTTCACTTTTCTTAAAAATCGCACCACACTCTTTTGTCCCAATCTTAGTGGGACGGAGGTAGTATAGTATAGGCTTAAATGACACAAACATCACAACTTAGCCAGCTTTACCCATGAAATTGGAAAAGTTAGTTTGATGTAGCATGTAGCGACTGTTTTAGGGATAGGGTGACCTAACTATCCCCTCGGCGACATAATACTTTCTACTTTAGACAACCTTAAATTGTCAAAATAAATTTCATGAAATTGCACCTGAATTGCATCCTTCGAATAGTACCGACCATCACCAGAAACAACAAGTGTAGCGCCTGCACAGTAGGCAATGCAATTACAAGATGCACACTGCCGGATCAATAAAAAATGATCGAAGGGAAGTAATGAAGTATATATTCCACTACACATAAAAAATGAAGAAGCTTGTTAATGCAGCAAAGGCAAGGAATGTGTTTGGGATAAGTACACAAAAGGTACTTGTGGTTGGACACATTTTCAAATAGGGGCCTGCGTGTTTCATTTCATTTTAAAGTAGTCCATATTTTTAGATTCCGCCTAACGCCATTAGAAATCGCCAAAGGAATACGGTGAACAGTAACTCCGGTTTTCAGAAGTACTTTCCAACAACAGGATCGCCCAAAATCAGCTCCCCGACAGCGCTGGACTAATATGTTTTCCAGAGAAATCGCCAGCACTACTGAGAAAACAGTAACTCCGGGTGCGCTGGACTAGATCGCCCAAAATCAGCTCCCCGACGGCTCATGGGGCGACCGCGCCATCTTCCTGGCTCATGACCGTGTGCTCAACACTTTGGCTTGTGTCATCTCCTTGAAATCATGGAATCTCTATCCTCAACAATTCCAACTAGGTTCATATTCTTCTTTTTAATGCCATTTTAAAGGAGTAATACTCGTATTTAAGGAATAAAAATCTAGTACTCCTGTTTTGAAATTTAGAAACGCTTTTACTTCCGATTCAAAGCGAATTCTTGATTTCTATATACTCCAAGTATAATTTGTATATATCTAGAATTGGTTGTAGTAAAAGCTCTATTAAGCATAAAAAATCACATTTGAGTAGAGTTTATGCTAAGCATGCCAATTTAATTACACCAGCTAATGCAGCAGGCAGGAAGAATGAAACTATCATACACATATATAAGTAAAACAATGACCTATGTGTACGGCATTATGTTATTGTCTTCCAGCTCAGGCTGGGGACTGAACTGTGTTCAAGCTCTATTTTGATTGGCAAAACTTTGCAAATGATAATGTGTATATAAATCCAACCACTCCTCAATTAAATGCTAACTCCATCCCAGAAATAAGTTCTCAGTTTGACCAACATATATTTATTCAATTCAAGGTTTTGCTTAGGCTTTCCAAGTATATCCTTACTTTGTGTCGAATCAAGCAAAAAGTAAGGGTAATACTGACATTTTCCGATTAAAATTATTATTTTTATAGAAATAGGAACTTCATTTAGATACACCCAAATAAGGAAAGCATGAACTTGTTTTGGGGACAAGAGTATATTTATTTATGGTTAGGGAACAAAACTTCCCACCAGCACTAGTTCCGATTTCTCTGGAAAACATGTGAAAAATACATAAGCACGTGTTTTTAGAGCTAAAAGGTGTGATACAGTGGCATTTAATGAATTGCTAATGTCATAAAAAAACATTTTAAAGCAGCACCTTGAGTATGAATGAATGCACTAAAGCCTAAGTGTCAACCATCAACATCATATATTTTGAAATAACCATAGCACTGTAGAACTGCAAATAACTGTAAACGACATAAAATACTTTAACCCACATATTCACTTGAAATGAATCCCCATTAACGAGGCCAAATTCTTTTGGCAATACTAGCACTTCCAAAAACATGATAAAAAAGACATCACAATAATTTTTACCTCGAATTTTATCCGCTCCAAGGGCATTGAATGTTGCTTGAACGAAATTTGGTAAATACTTAGGTTGCTTAAATACCTTCACCTGAAACAATCTCATAATGTTATATTAAATCCAACTATCCAAGTATTAAACAAGCAAAAGATATAACGATAGTATATAATTTTCATTTCGAATAATAGCATGTTATGGAAACATTTGTAAAATATTATAGAAACAAATAGCTCCATCTGATCCTAAGTATAACCAAGAAGGTCATTTGGCAAGTCACTTGGGAGGATCGAACTCTGGAAAAAAGTGTTTGCATGAACTTAACTACCTTTCAGGCACAGGTTGATTTGATTCTTAATAGACATCAGCTGGTTTATTTCTCTGGAGATAACTTGGAAAAAGGTTTAATGCTAAATAAAATGCAGCAGGTATACTAACTCTGTTGACGAGTTTTCTAACCCAAAGTACATGATCTCAATGCCAGATCAAGTTCTTCTCAATAGATCTACTTCAAGTGATCATAGATTCATAGGATCCAAATGAATAATCACCAAAAATAAATACTCAATCGGGAGAAAATGCATTTCTATGACAGGACACGACTTCTCACAAAATGAAACCACTGAAGTAGAAATGAACGAATCCCTCCGAGAAAGGTGATTCATTTCAAGACGGTTGGACGTATACATATTGATTCAGAACCTGATTAACTCATTTCTAATAATAATATGAGAAACAATTAAAACAAGAAAATTGAAAATTAACAATCAGAATAGTAACACCAGACAGTGATCAAGCCCTCAAACCTTCTTCCTGAGACCAGAAGTTCCAGGCTTCTGCCCTTCAAACGGCTTGGTCTCAACGTGAGTGACTTTGAACATCACCATTTCTGCGTTTCCGCACCAACTAGCGAGTTTGATTCCAGATCTCACTGTCAATCTCCCGAGCTAATAAAAGGGCAGTGATAGCTAGAAAGTCGGTAATTTAGGGACTTATGAACCGTACACAGGGACAGGCTATTAGGGGAGTTGGCACAGGGCAGTTAGTTGCCTTGGCCTAATTCTACAATGGAACGTACTACAAAGACGCCTCGGAAAAAGGGCAAATTTTCGCAAATACCCCGCAGAACATTTTTTTTTGTATGGAAAACTATAATTATTATAAACAAATAAATTCAAATATATAGCTAAAATAAAAATAGTGGACAAAAATGTGATGTTGATAACTTTATTGATTATAATTAGATTCAAATGTTACATTATAATGACTATAAAATTTACATAAAATAACTTGTAATCACGTTTTTATCTTTAGATTTTTATTAGTAATATTTTAGGAAAATATTCATTAATAAATGGGAGAATTCTCCAAATAGGACTAGATGAAATTTTAGGTAGGGAGATTTCAACAAATAGGAGCAAAACGTACGGATTTTCCAAAACTAAGACCAAAAATTAGGGTAAGACTCAACTACACCTGCATTGACCACAATACCCTTACTTTTAGAAAATAACATATATTAAATAGACAATAAAAAGACAATAAGTAGACATTAAATAAACAATGAAGAAAATTGCTCCCATCTTCTCCCGACTCTATCCTGTTTGTCCTTCGCAAATCCAGATCCACGCAGCTCCGTCTCCAGGTCTCCGCCTCCGAAGCTAGGTCGTCGGACGAAGTTACAGTGACACAAGATCTCCGGCGGTGATGGTGGAGGCCTTGGCGGCGAAGCTGTTTGATGGCGACGAGGTGGCAACGATGTTTGGCGGCACAGGCACGGCGGCGACGAGGTCTGGCAATGGCGGCGGCGTCTGGCAACGGCGGTGGTTTGTCGCGACGGCTGCAAAATCGAAAATGGATAGGGAACAAGGAAGAAGGTGGAGGCGTTGAACTTCAATCGGCGAATCTGGGAGCAAAGCCCTGAAGGGCAAATTTGGAAAGTTAGAAATAGGTTTCCTAATCTAGAACTAAATAGGTAATATGAATGGAAAAAACATTAGAATGTGTTATTTTTGTAAAAGAGCTATGATTTGATCCTACTAGGAGCAAATTTCTCTTTTAGGTTTTAGGTAATAGAATGAAATCAAACTTTAAGTAACACCATATTTTTACAACTTCTAAATTCGAAATGCTCAAATTTAAACATTGTTCATTTGAAATCACAACTTATAGTTTCTTACTCAAGAAACAAAAAAAAATACTATTTATTACACTCCCTAAATTATTTATAACGACTTTATTAAAATTGTTATAAAAGAATTGTAGTAAAAAAAATTAAAAACTCGTTTGATAACACGTTGTGATATCACGGTTGAATTACTTTTCCAGTTGATTTGGTTGAAGAGTATTATTTTAATGTTTTCATATATAACTTTTCATTTTGTTATAATTTTTGGGGGGAAATTACAAGTAGTCCCTTGAGGTTATGTCTATTATAAATACAACCTTACGTTTTCAAAAATCAATTAGTTACCCCTTGAGCTTGGATCATTCTCATGTTGTGCTCCCTCACGTTAATATATGTTAAATCAAATTTAATAAAAATTGACTACAAAATTGATTTTTAAAGTACAACACAAATTATAATCATAATTATAGGTCATTGTTGTTATCGTTATTTTTCTACTTAGCTAGTCCATCGTAGAATAAATATTATTAAGATCAGTTAAGGGAAAATACTCATGATTAAGATAAAAAAAATATCACAATTTTAATATTTTTATCCAAAAAAAATAAATATCATTTAATCTTATAAGACTAATAAACTTTTTTATTATAAAAAAAATTGTGAAGATAAAATCATCAGTAATAGTGTGAATAAACATTTTATTGCAAAAACAAAATGATAATATAGGAAAGAGAGAGAAAATATGTGGGGGGGAATGAGGATATATTAATATACTTATTTTTTGAGGGGAAAAGGCGGCTTAAATTGATATCAAAGCATTCAGCAAAGGAACAACACGATAAAAGGACCACTTCCAACGACAGACCCTCGAACTAGACTTAGAATCAATCACTCTCGAAAAAGCAATACGATATAAATATACTTATTGAAAAGACTTTTGAAAATGAAAAGAGAGACAACTATTAAATAAATCTTAAAATGGAAAGAGAAACATGCTTTGGAGAATGGTTTGAGGGTTTTAAATAAGAAGTACTCACTCCGGTCATAAATAAAGTTCACACTTTCCTTTTTGGATCGATCCAAAATAAAGTTCACATTTCTTCTCACTTCCTTATTTGGTAAATTATCTACATCAAAACAGTGTCAAACAGTACCAAATAATGCCAAACAGTGTACTCTACAGTAAAGTCAAATTTATTTCCTTAATTTGTGTGAAGTCAAACACTGAACTTTATTTAGGACCGAATGGAGTATGAAATATTTATATTTTGCAATAAATTCTTAATAGAAAGTAACTACTTTGTATAAACTTAAAAAATCTCTTTAAGTTTATTTCGATATTTGAGGATTAAAATTCATTCTAAGAAAAACAAATCTGATGGTTCTGCAACTTGCATATTTGAGGATTAAAAAAGAGATAATTCCCTAATTAGGACTAAAAGTTATTAAAAGTGCAATAATGGAACTTCAATGTTTCTGTTACATTCATAGGATTTAATAGAGATAACTTCACAAGAATACCCTTAATTAACAAATTAATATACTTATTAATAATACAACATAAAATAATAAAAGAAAATGTAATAAGTCCATCACAGTCATCTGGCACAACACTACTAACATCTTGGGTGACACATCTGCCGCCGCCGCCAGAACCGCCGGTGTTAGTGTCACTACCACCACAACCCTCCCGATAAAAGTGCAATAATGGAACTTCAATGTTTCTGTTACATCCATAGGGCTTAAAAGAGATAACTTGACAATAATACCCTTAATTAACAAATTAATATACTTATTAATAATACAACATAAAATAATAAAAGAAAACATAATAAGTCCATCACAATCATCTGACACAACACTACTAACATCTTAGGTGACACATCTGCCGCCGCCGCCTCCACCACCGCCAGAGCCGCCGCCGCCAGAACCGCCGGCGTTAGTGCCGCTGCCACCAAAAGCATCACAACCCTCCCAATATCTGACCTCATTCACCCTTGCTGCCTGACGCCGCAATCTCCGTCGTCATCGCTGCCATGTTCGACGATATGGACGCCTCATCCAACATCAGTGTGCCTCATCTGCTTGAACTCCGACGCCTCCACTAGTCCAACCATGCTAGATTTTAGATCTGACTCAAATCTGGTATGACTATCATTTCAATGTCATCTCGCAATTGTAATGTCATCTTAATGACATTAAATGACATCTCGGAGTTGTAATGTCATCTTAATGACATTATTATCATCTTGCGGTTGTAATGTCATTATAATGACATTATTACCATCCTGACAGAAATTAGATGGCATTTTTGAATTAAAAAACATGTCACTAATGTTATTCAAAATGAGTAGTATTGCCATCTTCGCAATGTTAATGCCAAAAAATGGCATTCATTCTTAAAGTAACTTTTATCAAATTCAAAGTAAACATAAAACAATAATTTGGAGTAATACTTATAAAATGTTAAAATTTTAAGAAAAAATAAACCAATAAACATCAAAGTAAATAAAATCTAAAAAGAGCTAGAAAAAAGCAAGAAAATTAACTGATTGAAACAGATCTGGAAGGAGAATAAAAAAGTGAAGCAAAAGATAATAAAAAATGGGGTTAATCATCAACTTAAAGGTGCAAAAAAGCTATCATTGAGTGAAGGAAAAGAGAAGAGAAGAAGAAGGGGAAGAAGAAGGAAAAAAGAATACATGCCTTGTTACCGCCAGCCTGTCACCACTCGCCGTCCTGCTCAGGTTACCGCCAACCCACCGACCCTGATCACTGTTGGCCGGAAATGGAGAAGAAACTCTAAATCATTTATACCTCTAAATTGGAGAAGAAAGGAATTGATATCAAAATAATAAAATTGAAGTTATTATAGAAGGATAGAAAAAAAAAATTGAAATTGAAGACTGGATTTATCATGGATGTGTGAGGGAGATGAGAGAGATGGTAAATGAGTCGCAGGGAAGATAATATGTAGACTTAATAAATTAATTCTATTTAGGAAATAAATGAAAGGAAATTCCTAATACATAGAAAATCCCTAATACATATTCTATCTAAACGATAGCACACAACATAGAATTTCCTTCAACACTCCCCATTGTGCTGAGTTGTAGATAGAATGTTGTATGTGTCTCGTTCCTTCTTCAAAACTCTATCAAGTAACAAAAACCCTGTGAGAAAAAATAACCTTGACCGGAGAAAAGGAGTATAGAATCAAGATAAGCTTCTTTCATTAAGTCTATCTTTATTTGATCTTTGCTTTGATCATTAAAGTTTAAATGTATTGTTACCTCATTAAAAACCTTACCCAGTAACAAAACCCGGTGGGAAAAAATAAAACTTGGGTAAAGGAAAAGAGTGTAATTAATGAAGTCTACATATATCCTTAATATTTACATTAATCAAGGGTGTTTGTAAAATATGTGTGTTTCAATATTTGTCACATTAATTACCTTAGCGAAGGCACACAATAGAGGAATATAATTCCTTTAGTTCTCCCCCTGTGTGTCGAGCGTAGGGAATTTTCCCAAATTATTAACTTGCGAAAATGTTGTCAATGAACAAAACTCAATGGGAAAAAATAAACATCGGTCAAAGTAAAAAGGAAGTATGGTGCACTAATACCTTCGCGTCAATTACTTTTGACTGCGATATAGTAATTATGTTCTTTCTTCAACATTGTTTTACTTTCGCAAAATTAAAAATGTGGGATGGTGCATATTATGTTGTCTCATTAAAAAAACCTTACCAAGTAACAAAACTCAATGGGAAAAAATAAATCTTGGTCAAAAAAGGGAAAAGAAAAAGAGTACAACACACCAATATAATTGATGATAAAGAAGTACTCCCTCCGTCCCTAATCTTTCTCCCTTTTCGGGTGGGCACATTTATTAAGATAGTGGGATTTGTGTGGTGGAGAGTTGTGCAGAGGAGAGAGAAATGTGTAAGAATGTGTAAGAATGATTGTGAATCACAAATTTTTTGCTAAAAGGGGGAAGAGAAGATAATTTTGGGACGGACGAAAAAGGAAAGTTTGAAGATAATTTAGGGACGGAGGGAGTATGTAAGAATTCCCCCTGAATGCAACACATCAATAAGAATTCGATATGTGTTTGATATATACTTTTATCAAGGTATTCCGTATATAACATCTTGGTTTCTTTCATAGTAAATATATACTCATTTAAGAAAGTATTCTTGATACTATTTCAATGATGATATACGAAGTATTGGTGCTGAACTATTTTCAGCTAACACGTTCTTGAAAATGTATTATTTGGTCGAATATATTTGTCAAAGTACAATCATGCGCATATTCCGCTTTCATAAATATCCATACTTATCTGAACATGCTAATTCTTTGGATCAAAAGTATACGTAGTAGATACTCGTATTAATGATTAAAAAAACGAAGAAAAAAAAAAGATATTTCTATAGAAACATACGGAGTACATAGTATATCTCTTAAAATGATCTGAGAATACAATATTGGTGTTTACAGGCTATATTTCACATGTCTGAAAAAAAATTAAATCGCAGGGATATTCCTCAATAAAAGATCATCAATTAAATGGATGCTCCAAAAACAAAGATTATCAATTCCAGCCAAAAACAAATCACCTTCTAGAAAAGAGGAACGGCAAGAGGCGGGGAGAAAGTAGGGTAGGGCAAACGTGCTAATAAAATGTTGTAAGTAGAATTGAGCGTAGGATATACTAGCATTTACAAGTACGGGTCAATAGGCCCATAATACAGCATATACGTATAAAAACCCTTATATATAAAAACCCTTATATGTATTCTATCTAAATATATTCTATCTCGGAGCCCATAATAAAGCATATACATATAAAAAGCCTTATATGTATTCTATCTAAATATATTCTATCTAAACGAGAGCACACAACATCAATTTCCATTCTCATTATCACTCACCAAAACGGGAAAGAGCAGAACAAAATAAGGAACACATAGAGCAGTGATAACCAACAATGGCCTATAAAGCCGCTGACTCAGTTTGCCTCATCCAGACATATACATACATGGATATCTACTTAACAAAGTTAACAGGGTACGACATTTAAATTAAACAAAAGCACAAGGACTAAATGCAAAAAAAGACAGAATAATAAGAGCTGATCACTAAAGCTACTTTTAATTCAACAAGTATCATTATTATGCTCCAACTGTTGCAGCCAAGGCCGGGTTCACCTTCGGCGGCCTCCCTCTCCCTCGGGGAGCAACCGGAGCACCGCTCACTGCCGGCGGTGCAGCAGCAGCAGCAGTGGGGGTTACCTTAGGCGGCCTTCCTCGTTTCCGGCCAGGAATAGAAGCAGATGCCTTTTTCATAGAAGAACTCTCCGGAGCTAGAGGGTCACGGGGCTTAGGAGGGCGGCCACGCTGACGGGGCGGACCTGAAACCTGTGCTTCAGTAGGTGAGGCCGTCTTAGGCTTTGCGGGACGGCCGCGACCTCGGCGCGGCGGAGCATTTGCGTCGGCCTTCATGTAGTTATTCTTCACCAAAACAAGCTGGCCGCTCTGTATCATCGTTTCGAGGCTGTGAATAAGCAGCGCGTGGTGAGACGGAGGAACGCCGCCGTTTGCGGTCTCTATGTGCCTCGAAATGTCGTCTTCGCTAGATCCATCCTTCTCATTCAACTCCTCAATCGCAGCCACGATCATCTGGATAGAAGAAAACAGCAAATTTAGCACAAATTCGCAGTGCAATCATACAATTAAACATTAGAAATCACAGAATTACAGAGTCTGAAGGAGAGATTTGGGGACCTGAGGATAATCCGGCACAGATTCCGGTTGCTGGTCTTCGGCGGAGGCGGCCATGGATGCTTCGAATTCGAAAACAGAAACGGTAGGCGGCGATCAGAGAGAGAAGTGGTGAGGGGGGGAAATGGGAAAGGACAAAGTTGTTGGATGGAGAGATTTGGGTGAAAGGGGGATTTAAAAGGGGAAGATGAAGAGCGGATAAAGGAGGAGATCGGGCGGTAGAAAAGTGATTTCTGCCGTTTTGAATCGGACGGTGAGCGAGAGGATATGGATTTGTTTGTAGGATCGGTGACGTGGCTGTGCTTGTCCGATTTTAAAACTTAGGATGTGCAGTTACATTTCTATCCCTATGTTCCCACGTATTCCAGATCCGATTCTTTTACTACAAGCTTACCCGGTTACATCTTGAGTATGGCCCATTTGTTAAATTGAAATTGAGTGGGGTTAAATCTACTTGAACTATGAAAATATATGTAGCAATCCACTTGATTGAATATATCAAGCTATTTAAAAGTTACTGGTATATAAAGTACATAAAGTAACTTTAATTCAATAAAGTAAAATAAAAATTATACAATTACCGTCACTTTAATCGTTCATAAATTACATAAAGTATAGTAGAAAAATAAATTCAATGTTGCTTCTTTTAATTCTTACACGGGGATTTATAAATTATGTGCATTAGTCACGTATATGATTTAAAAATGCGTCAAACACCCTAAATTATAATTATTTATGCGTAAAATCTCATCCAAGAATAAATTAATTGTCAATTAAATCGAAAGTAATTTGTATTTTTGCATAATTTAGCGATCTTAAAAAAATTACTCGCATATTCATTCATAATATTAACACAAAAGATTTCCAAAATGTTAAATTTATTTTTGAAGATAGGGAAAACTGTCAAATAGTTCCTCGAACTTTCATAAAAAAGTCAATTAAGTCCTTCTATAGGAGACTCTGTCCGATCGTCGCGATTTGGGGCGGTTTCCGGTGGAATTTTTTGATGAATTTTTTTGAGCATCTTATTCATCAAGTCTAGTTTACTCATACCAAATTTCAGTTAAAAATTTAATCGGGAACGCATTCAAATTAATTCGAGAACGCAAAAATGCACAGTTATCTTCAAGAATTAATTTGAATGAGTTCTTGATCGAATGTTTAGCTGAAATTTGGTATGAGTAAACTAGACTTGGTGAATAAGATGCTCAAAAAATTTCATTAAAAAATTCCACCGTAAATTTCATTAACACCCCTCCCCATGACCAGACACTTCATCTGGATCGTGTCGTCATTCATTTTTTTGTCAGTTCGTCATTGTCATTTTTATAATCAGGTCAACATTTTTCATAAGGGGGCCCACACCATGGATCGATTAGGCTCTGATATCATGTTAAGACCCGGAATTTCATCCTAGAAGGTTAACCTGATAAAAGGGGTAGCTCATGTCTTAACACATTTTCTGTGTGGGAATTTAACACATTTTATTTTGAAATGATACGGGACCCGTATGAGACAACAAATGGAACGTTTCAGAACGGACCAAGAGGACCAACCTTAGAAAGAAGCATATATGTAGAATAATACTTTCATCTTTGAATGTTGACTCAACACACAACCCTCTTCAGTCGAGATATACTCATATTCATATAATCATATCAAGCGTAGGTAGGAGTGGGCGCGGTTCGGAACGCTCCGGTAAATTGGTAAAACCCGTAATGTATCCGTAATGTTTTTAACGGTCCGGTACAGTCCGATTCCAAGGATAGAACCGCTCGGTACCATGTAATTTGGAAACGGTACAAAACGGTACGATACAATGTCAAACACATGCTAAAAATTTTGAACAAACCTTGCAATTAGTAGATGTCATTACACCAACAACTCACATGAAATGTTGAAATAAATACAAGAAATTGCATACGTAGTACTAAAATTCACAAATACACAAATAGTGCAACACAACTAAGAAATAGTATAACAAAACGATGATGCACGAGATAAATATCATTTTTAATTTACTAAGTTCATGTGAAAATATAAAAACAAATATCATCAAATTATTGAATATAATAGAAATCTTCAACGTTCTTCTTCTTCGTTCTACGTTAGATATTACTTTGTAGTTCTAATTTAATTTATAGTTGAACCTTGAAAGCTAAGATTTAAACCATATTAATTAAGTTGTAAAAATTGCACAAACATGATATAACAAAAAGTCATGTACACTACATTACTACAAATGAATAGTCATTAATGATTTCTAACATTTTAATATTCTTTCAATACATACCAAAATATAACATAAATTATCTAAAAAGAAAAAAAAAACAATATACACACACGCACACATTTAGATATCTTAGGGACACATGAATACATACTTGGGGTATAAAATTGTTCGTCTATAAAAGGATCAATTGGTATAGAAAAAAATATAAAAAATTCAAATGCATTATTTTCAAACGGTTCGGTCCGGTATTTTTCGATTATCAAAATCTAGGACCGGATCCGTACCCGTTTCAAACGGTAAGGTTTCGGTTCGAGATAAAAATCTATAGAACCATTTAAATACCCATTATTCAGTTCGGTACCATAACGGGACGGTTCGGTACCGGTTCGGTTCGGGTTTTATGCCCACCCCTAAGCGTAGGTATTCTATTTGCCATCAAGTAAACCCCTCTTTCTTCTTTTTTAGTCTATTTAGGCTTAGGTATTTTGAGTGGACAGCTATAATTCTTCTTCCAAACAATACTATGTACTCCCTGCGTCCCAAAATGATGGTCTTGTATTTCCTTTTTGGGATGTCCTAAAATGATGGTCTTGTTTCCCTTTTTGGAAGGAAAGATGTGGTTCATATCATTTCATTTTATTATCTTCAAATCTCAACCACAACTTTTACATTTTCAACCACTTTATTAAAAATTGTGCCCAAAAAAATGAAACTATCAAATTGGGACGAAGGGAATAATAAGTAGTACTAACTGCGCTTGACTAGTTTTTACATGGAGCAGCGGGCCATGTGAAAAAGCTCAGACAACAGAGAATGTGTGGTAGTGTGATTGAGAACAAAGAGTGCAGTAAAAATCAATACCAGTAGCTTTATTGGAATGCAATTAGGCCTGAGCACGGGTCGGGTTCGGGCGGTTCAGGTCTGCTGACCCTTAACCCGTTCGGGTTATTTAATTGAAATACTTGGCCTGACCCTATTATTTTTCTAACATATTTTTTCGGATATTTAAATTTCAGATAATTTCGTATATCGGATTTCGGATCATTCGGATATAATAAAACGCATTAAAATTGGGTATACAAAATGAACACAAGTACAAAACTATGCAGTTCACACAAGTACAAAATGAGCACAATTACACAACTATACAAAATGAACCCAAGTACAAAAGTACACAACTATGAACACAACTACACAAGTTCAGTTATAATAAGAAGTTCTACAAAATCAGTTTGTGTTTTACAAAATAAGCTTGTACTTTAATAAAGGAAGTCCATAATCAGCTTGTACTTGAGCCTTTAATCATGCACATATAAATTAAAAAGATAAGTAGTCAGTTAGTCACAATTCACAAAATATGTGTGAATAAAGTAAATAAAACCCGGACCGAACCCGAAATTTCGGGCTCATTAACGGGCCCTAAAATCTATAACCTTACCCGGACCGATAAAAACCCGAAACAATTTGATGGAGTATATGGGTTTGAGCCCCCAGACCCACATACTCAGAAGAACGGAAAGCACAAGACAACAGAGTGGCGCCCTCGTCGGCCAAGACGCCCCCGTCGGCCGAAAAGGGACCAACTCGGATTATGGTCCTGAGTCCAAGGAACCCGGGTGCCCTCGTCGGCCGTGCCCTCGTCGGCCGTGCCCTCGTCGGCCACGCCCTCGTCGGCCATGAAGACCTCACAGAATCGGATTTTATACTTATTCATTTATACAGCCCATTAGTGGCTTTGTATTCGGCCCAGTAGCGGTCCAGTTGTAAATGGGCCTCCCAAGCCCAAGGCTTGGGAGCCCAACCCTAATTTTCTCTATAAATACTCCCCTTGGGAGTAGTTATAGGGGTTACGAAATCATTCTATTGAAGCATATTATTGCACTTCTCTCTCTAGCTCTCACTTCTCTCTAGATATACTCTATCATTTGGTGCTCTCGTTGAGAGCTAGAACAATCAAGTTAGCATCCTTCGTCGCTACCAAGCACAGCTAACCACTGATCATGGGGAGAACTAAGTCAAACCGCAACCTCGTCAGCAAAGTCATCCCTGAGGACCAAGAGCCCAGGGAGCACGATGAGGACGCCACGGCCGACCAGGCCGGCGGAGGAGATCTCTTCCAGGAGGCCTTTAACCTCACAACAGACCTCCGCAACCAACTCAACGGCGGCGGCCCTGATGCCCGCCTCGGCTTGGACAAGAAGCGAGCTGAAAAGACGGATCACGCCCCGGCCCAGCCTATGGCCGCGGCCTCTCCGTCTGTAGATCCTCAGGTCCAGGCCGCACTATCGGCTATCATCGCCAGCTTGGCTCAGAACCCCACCGTCCTCAGCGCACTCTTGCCAAGGACTGGGGGGAACGTCACTCAACCTCCTCAACCCCAACCGCTGGCCGTCCAGATTGGCAACGACGAGGGGGTGGTGCCCCAGGACACGGCGTCGTCCCACTCCCACCCTGCTTCCCCTCTTCGGCCCGGGCAGACCCCAGCGCGTGGAAAAGCCTCTGCCTTCAATAGGCTAGGTGACACGCGCCGTCGTCCGGTTTCGGAGAGGATGGCGGGACGGATTGGTGATCCTCGTCCTGGCTCGCCAAGGGAAAGCTTGGGGTCTGTGTCCCGGACAGCGGACCAGCCCCGCCCGGATAAGGGCAAGGGGAAGTTGCACGAGGATGACGTGCGTCACCAGATCAACGCGGCTCACAACGAGCGCCTAAGGAACCAGCCGGGCGCCGCTGCGGCCAACAGGGACCCCCGGGACGAGGTCATCGCCCAGCTGGAAAGGAGGCTGGCTCAGATGGAGGCCAAGCAGTCGGCCAACATCCCTACGGTCGGCGCCTCCAACGACCCCGGCCTCAACGCGCTCATGAACAAAGTTAGCGCCCTGGAGAGGGAGCTGGCCGAAGGGCGGGGTGACCCCATC